ATCACAAATTGCTGCTAGATCCGCGGTTTCTGGGGTCTCGGGCTCTGTTGGACGCTTCTCTCTCCTCGTAGTCCATGTAGGCCCTGGCCTTTTCGAGGAGGGCATCAAATGTCTGGGGTGGTTCGATGCCCACGACTTTTCTAAATTCAGCGCCGGGGAGGAGCCCCCTCTCCAGCAAGTATCTCTTCATATGGTCCGTGCAGGGGACCTACATGCCTTCCTGATTGAAGCGGTTAATGAATTCTCTTAAGGTCTCATCGTGTTTCTGGACGATGGCCTCGAGCGCTGCTTCGGTCTTCGGGTGTCGTCGCGAAGCAGTGAATGAGTTGATGAACTGGTTCTTCAGGTTTCGCCAAGAGGTAATTGACCTCGGGGCGAGACCTTTGTACCAGTCCATAGCCGCTTTCCTCAGAGTCATGGGGAACAACCAGCATTTGATTGGTCCCCCGACGTTGTGGTAGTGCAGCATGGCTTCGAACCCATCTATATGGTCGATCGGGTCGACAACACTGTCATACTCCTTTAAGCGGGGAGGCTTCTCCATGCCCGGGGGAATGGGCGCCTCCATGATAGCTTGTGACAAGGGACCGCGGGGGTCGTCCTCGTCACTCCGTTCTGGGGAGCGGGACGGGGATCCGATGTATTGGCGGTCATGGTGGCCCTGGTTGCGCAGAGCGTTCCTCAAGCAGTGTGATCGTTGATGGTTTCCTCTGTGTCTGTCTCCGAGAGGTCTTCGTTCTTTCCGTGAGGGGCCATGGTCGTGCCTTCATGCGTCGACGAGTGGTTACCTCTCCAAAGGTGATCGTCACTCGATTGGTCGAGGCGACGGGCTTCGAGAGATGTCCCGATTCTGTCTCCGCGGGGGAGATCGGGGACGTTCGTCTGCTTGTCAAGGGGGAGGAGATTGAGGTCTTTTGTGCCTTCTAAGGGGCCTTCGGTCGTCCTCGAGTGCTATGAGTCTTTCTCCCTGGGCAAAGATGAGATAGTTGGTTTGGTTAATCTCCGCGAACAGTGCCCTGGTCGTGGCGTCCGCCCCGGCGAGGACGGGGACCTCGTGGAATTGGACAACTGGGTAGTTCAGAGGAATTGGTTGATCTTCTTCAAGTCGAGGAGAGATTGATAAAGAAGAAGCCGTGGCTCCGTCCCAGTAGTTAGAAGGTCCAGGAATGTTGACGCCAGGGACCGTATTATGGCTGGCGGTACCAGCGTTATCGAGGCCAACATTATTGTCGGTGATGTTATTGTTAACGTCGATGACATAGACGTTTTGGTTGTCTTGAGTTTGGTCAGTAATGACAGTCGAGGATTGTTAGCTTTTGTCTTTTAAACGGAGAGAAGACGGGGAAGCTTAGTTTCCCACAGACGGTACCACTGATCTGACCTGATCAGAGTTAGACCGTTACAGTTGGCTTCGTGCTGGATTTGAAGAAGATGGGGGGTACCTACAAGACACTCCGGTGGAAAATTGAGAGACGGAATAAGCAAGAAAGAATGAATGTAAGTGCGAATGAATGAATACCTGATCCTCTCGAAATAGAGGGTATTTATAGCCCCCAGCGTTGGGCCAAGGTCTCTTTATTGGGCTGATCAAACAGGCCCAACAAAGAGACTGCCAGGTTCTACGTGAGTAGTGGGGAACTGCACGTGGCCCTCTACCTGGATGACGCCCTCCGCAAGACAGGGAGGATAAAGACGCGATCTTCCCGGGACCATGAAGACTCCACGAAATCCGGAGAAGTTGAAAGTCATCCCTACGAAGAGGGTGCTCGGTGGGAGCGTGCGCTCATCGGGAACATTCCTCGCGGGCACCGGCGGGAAGCAATCATAGTCGACCAGACACCCATGATCGGGGTGTGCTCGGAGGGTATACTGCTCAGCACGGTATGTTGACAAGCTTAGATTGGGCCTCACTGGTGATTGAGCCATGGGCAGGCTCAGTCCAGAACAGCAAGCAACCCAGATTTCCATTTACATCAGAGTAGCCTCCAGAGCGAAGCATGCTCTGTGAGTAGTACATTCTGATGTGTGTGGACCATTTCCAGTACCTTCACTTGGAGGAAACAAATATTTTGTGTCTTTTGTGGATGATTTCACAAGAATGACATGGGTAACACTCATCAATTTCAAGCATGAAGTGTTTACTGAGTTCCATAAGTTCAAAGTGAAGGCTGAGAAGCAGAGTGGTCAGAAGTTAAAGATTCTGAGAATGAATGGTGGAGGTGAGTATAACTCTATAGAGTTCCGAAAGTTTTGTGAGGAGAATGGAATAGAACATGAGGTTGCTGCTCCATATACTCCTCAACACAACGGTCTTACTGAAAGAAGAAACAAAACTTTGCTTGATATGACCAGAAGCATGCTGAAAGAAAAAAAGCTACCTCAAGTGTTATGGAGAGAAGTTGTTGCCACATCAACATATATTTTGAACAGGTGTCCAACGAAGAAACTGAAGGAAGTTATTCCTTTAGAAAAATGGACTGGAGATAAGCAGAGTGTCAATCATCTGAATGTGTTTGGCTCTGTCTGTTACAAACACGTTCCAGAAGCTAGAAGGTAAAAACTGAATGATAGAAGCAAAGTAATGTTGCTGGTGGGGTATCACAGTACAAGTGCGTATAAGCTTTATTGTCCAGAAACTAATAAAGTTGAAGTCAGCAGAGACGTTATGGTGAAAGAGTCTGAAGCATGAGATTGGAACAAGTCTCAATTAGATTCTGGTGTAGTGCCAACACCAGAGTTAGCCTCTGAAGATGTTTTAGAAAGTTCAGAAGATGAATCTGATTCTGAAGATTCTGAAGATGAGTTAGAAGAAGATTTTGACAATGGATCTGATTTTGATCCAGATGCTGATGATGATCCAGAATCTGGTGGTGATCATAGTTCTGGAAGGGAAAACTCTGAAGGTGGTAACTCTGGAGGTAGTAGTTCTGGTGCAGCTTCAGAACAAGCTCAAAGATCACAGAGAATCAGACAAAAACTAAAAAGGTTTACAGATTTCGACATGTTGCAGGATAATGAAGTTGACTATGAAGGAGAAGTCGTTCAGTGTGCCATGTTAGTAGATTCTGAACCAGTTGGCATTGAAGAAGCTCTCAAGAAGAAATAATAGTTGAATGCCATGAAAGAAGAACTTGGGGCAATAGAAAGGAACAAAACGTGGAAATTGACTAAACTTTTAAATAAGAAAAAAGCCATCAGTGTCAGATGGGTTTTTAAGTATAAACTTAAGCCAGATGGTTCAATTGGCAAGCACAAAGCTAGACTAGTAGCTAGAGGTTTCCTTCAGAAACCTGGGCTAGATTAATTTGAGGTGTTTGTGCCTGTAGCTAGGCATGAAACAATCAGACTGGTGATTGCTTTAGCTGCAAATAGAAATTGGCATTTAATGCATCTTGATGTGAAGTCTGCATTTCTGAATGGCTCATTACAGGAAGAAGTTTATGTGTCACAACCTCCTGGATTTGTGAAAAAGAATCAAGAAGGGATGATATACAAGTTGAATAAAGCTCTGTATGGACTGAAGCAAGCGCCCAGAGCTTGAAATCTGAAAATTGATTCGTTTTTCAAGAAGCAGAAGTTTCAGAAATGTGAGATGAAATATGGTCTTTATGTGCAACACTCTGATAATAATATAATTCTATTGTATCTCTATGTTGATGATATTTTGCTAACAGGAAGCTGCCCAGAAAATATAAAGAAGTTCAAAGAAGTTCTGATGAATGAGTTCGAGATGACAGATCTAGGAAATATGACATATTTCTTAGGAATGGAGATTTTGTACTCAAAGAAGGGTATCATTATGCATCAGTTGAAATACGAACTTGAACTTCTGAAGAGATTTAAGCTGCAGAATTGCAAAGTTGTTGTAACACCATCAAAAATCAATCAAGAATTAGATTCTGACTCTGATGGTGATTCTGTTGATACTACAACCTTCAAACAATTGGTTGGTTAGCAGATTCATGAATAATCCAAAGTGGTCTCATTTTCAAGTTGTTGTTAGAATTCAAAGATATATCAAGGGAACCCTGAAATATGGAGTGTTGTTTCTTTTTGAAAGAAAGACATAATCAGAACTAATAAGTTATTCTGATTCTGACTGGTGTGGAGACAGAGTGGACAGGAGAAGTACTTCTGGATACTTGTTTAAATTTCTGGGAGGTCCCATTTCTTGGAGTTCCAAGAAACAGCATGTTGTGGCTCTGTCAACATGTGAAGCTGAGTATATCGCAGGTGTTGTAGTTGTTTGTCAAGTTGTTTGGCTTCTGAACCTCTTGCACGATCTGAAGGTTGAAGTTGAGGAACCTCTGAAGCTGATGATTGATAATAAGTCTGCAATTGATCTTGCCAAGAATTCAGTTCTACATGAAAGAAGCAAGCACATTAAGACAAAATATCATTTTCTCAGAAGTCAAGTGCAGAAAGGAGTGTTAGAAGTTCTGCACTGCAGCACTTAGAAACAGCTAGCAGATCTTCTGACGAAGGCAGTTAAGACAAATCAATTTCTTCGTTTGAGAGATGAAATTGGTATTGTTAGCTTCTGATAGAATATCTAAATTAAGGGATGATATTGAAAACATAATTTAGTTAACATCTACAATTCCCAATGCTTATTCTTTAATAGAGTCTTTTAGCATTTTCAATATTTAGTATAAATATATTATACTAGACTATCAATATTGTACCCAATTTTATCTCTTCTATTTTGATATACAACAATAGTCTTGTTATTATTCTTTTGTTCATTTTTCTTCTCCTACTTCGTTACCTCACCAACAATATCAATCCATTCTCGATTTAGTGAGACTCTCTTGGTGAACTAACAGATAGTGAAAGTGTTTTAAGTAGAAGGTTTTGGTCTCGGTCTTTATCCCAGCAATTAATATAACACTACATTACTAGTATTTGTATATAACAAAATATTTATAAAAAGAAGTAGGGCCAAAACATGTTGAGAGCTTTCCTTTTTAGTACTACGATCGTTGTGGCTTGGTAACCAAATGGATTCTTCTTCTGTTTCTGTTTCTGTTTCTGCTTCAGCTTCCTCAAACAACATGGGTTCTTTTCCAAGTCCAGGAGCACCGTATTACAGAGAAAGAACAAGAAGGTATGAGAACAACAAGGGATGGAGCTCAGAGAGAGTATCAAAGCAAACAAACGACAATAGCAGCAGCAGAAGACACACTATGTCTGGTTTAACACCATTCAGTGGTGGAAGAACAATGCCATCAAAATGGGATGAAGCTGAGAGATGGATTTGTAGTCCAGTTTCAGCATCATATGCTGATAGCAGAAGAAACTCACATACACAACAACAACAAAGAAGACCCAAGTCAATAAGTGGTCCAATTGTTCCACCTCTTCCTCCTGGAGTGGCTTGTTACTCAAATTATTCACCGTCGGCTCAACAACTGAGACAAGGTTTTGTTGTGAGGAATTTAATGGTTAGTTCACCTTTTTCAACTGGAGTGTTGGCACCTGTTGCTGTTTCTGTTCGCCGTTATGAGGAACATGATGGAAATGAGGAAAGTGAGAGATCTCTTGTTCCAAGATACGATAAAGGTACTCAAATGAGCCCTACTGAAACTGAGAATGATGTAGATTCATCTCCAAGATCTTCTGCAACTTCGGCTATAGATCAAGAAGATTGCCTTTATCCTAAACTAGAAGTCAGAGATGTGGAGGTTGACAGTGAAGCTACTGTTATGAGGGGATCCAAGAGACATGGAGCCAAATTGATCAAAAATGACTCAATGCATAGATCAGAAATGAGAGAGAATAGTGCTGATGCACAAGTTTCGTGTTGGGACATTGAAGAATCAACCTTGGACACTTCCAAGTATGTCTCGTAACTGCTTAAAAAAACATACTTTTTGAAACTATTTTAAGTTTGGAGGCTGCAAATGAATCCACTTATACTTTTAGTTCCTTAGATCACCATTAGTAAGATATTTGAATCTCACCCAGATAATGATTGTTTTACTGATCCATTCATCCGGGAGTTTCTTTCTTTGATGTAGGTTACGGAGAGAGGAAGCCAAAGTCGCTGCTTGGGAGAATTTGCAGAAAGCAAAAGCTGAAGCTGCAATGCGGAAACTCGAGGTATTTTTTCATCAAAACTTGTCTACTTTACTTTATGATACCAAGTATATCTAGTGTAGAGAATTACACAATAGTTTTCATATTATCATATGATTGGAAGCAAGGTATAAGCAGGGGCAGTTGTAATGTCTTTTTGACCATGATAATGTTTGACAGATGAAATTGGAGAAGAAGAGATCTTCAACAATGGATAAGATTCTTAAAAAACTGAGAAGGGCGCAGTTGAAAGCAGAAAGTATGAGAAGTTTAGCACCTGTACAACAGGAAGATCGCACTTCCAAGATTTGCAAAGTACTTTCATTCCCCAAATATGTCCAGATAAGGTCTCTAAGCAGCTGCTTCAGCAGCCATTCTCAGTGACCTATTCCTTGTACATGCCATGAAATCATTGAGGTTTGTACCAGGTTATAAAAGAATACTCTGCATTGTTTTAGTGGCCATTGATGTAATTGGCATGTGTTAGAAACCCCAACAATACATCATTCTTTGTACCTAGTTGCGCTATTTGTATATATAAAGCTCAGTGATTTATGCAGACGAACTTTCTTTAAATATTTTGACTCTTCAGAGAAAAACATGTTTTTGAGGACGTGCAAGGACTCACCTTGTTTTGATCTAGAACATACAGAACAAGTCTAGCAGCAGGTGTTTTGACAATGTGCTGCCATAGACCATAGCCACAGGAAAGTTCTACAAGTTCTTAAGGTGTGACTAACACTAACCACAACACAATACGAGTATAAATTGGAGTATAAATTGGAACATACTGAACTGGCATAAACAAAACTTGCAAAAGGATAGGCCAAGAGTTCTTATAACCCAAAAAATGCCTTTGAAGAATTACAATTTAATCATATATACTATTACAAGTGAATACAAGATTAAAGTTCCATGGGACAGAAAAGAATTAATCTGATTTAGTGAAACAAGTAAAATCCAACTCTAAGTGCTGATGATACTTCACATCAATTCCTGACACCCATAGTAGCATTTGGAATGCTTATGCGGCAACATACTCTCCTAGTATGGTCTATACCTCCAATCTGCTCTTGATGGTCTTCTACTAGCAACTCCATAACCCCACTGCGAAGTAAACAAGAATAATAATGTTAAATTCATATGGATCCCACCATATAACCTACATAATTTAGGGAGACCCACATAAAATTTAGAGTGTATTGTTAGCACTCCTTGATAAATAGCCGAAAGCAAAAAGCGTGTAACTAGACTCAGTATTCCAATATTTTATATTGTCCATTCTTTTACAATATCCAAGGAACACTTAAAAAATATATCGACCATCTTTCTCATATTGAATAAAATATACAAGCATTTTCGTTCACTTGCAAGATGAGCACGATGGGAAACAAAACATATCAAGGGTCTAGTAGATTCCAAAAAATATATAAAATGGGGAAATTCTTGATATATAACCTAATTTACCATTTCTTACCAGTTATAAAATCATTCACGTGTATTATAAGTATATGTGTGAATTAGTATTTCTGCTATTTAATTGTATTTCTCCTGTTTCTGTTAGCAAAATGAGTCTTTGGCTCATAGCAAACTGGGCCTATAACCAACTGCACTTAGTGTGTTAGGATGATCTTATTGTAGCTTAGTAATCAGATTCTTTCAGTATAAGAATCTAACTTTTAACTATAGCTATCAACTTGATCTAAAAATACTGTACTAGGAATTTTAATCAGTTGCAAGCAGTATTCAGAGTTCAGAAAATACAAATTTCAGGGATTCTGTCAAATCTCTCCAGTTTTCTTCAGCTTTCTATTAATGTCTCAGATTTTCTCAGGAATGCAAATAATAATAATGAAGCTATATAGTCTATAGTCTATACTCACATCGTCGAAGTTCAGGTTATCATACATTCTCCCATAAGGCCTCACAGGACTTTGATCAAAATAAGGCCTCACAGGACTTTGATCAAAATAAGGCCTCACAGGACTTTGATCAAAATAAGGCCTCACAGGACTTTGATCAAAATAAGGCCTCACAGGACTTTGATCAAAATAAGGCCTCACAGGAGCGCCACATTCCCTGAAAGAATCCAGACTATTCACCATAGTATTGCCACTAGGCCCTGCGTCATCAAGAGGTGTGGGTGATTCGATGGCAACCTATTCGAAGAAATAAAATCATTTATTAATCAAAGATAAGTTTATATAAAATAAGTTTATATGAAATAAGAATACATGGTAAGTCAAGTTTCCGAAGAAATAAATTATTCAGCCTTAAATACACGTATACACGACAAACAGGATCATCATTAGTGTTCACTTCACATTTTTGACATATGATGCTTTGTCAGAAGGAATCTGCACAAACAGGAATCATGTAGGTCTACTGTACATGTTTTATGATTCAGTGCAATGACTGCACACTGATGTAATGTCAATTAGATCACTGCAAGCAGTAAGGAGGGGGAGTGTTGAGAAATTTTTAAATACATCCCACTTATTTTATTGTCATTACATCAAAGGGCAGTGGAAAAAGGGAAGGATAGATTCAAGTAGGGTTATCATGCATAGTAACAGAAAATCCAAATTGAAGTACCTGATGTCCACAAATTTCATGAGATCTTCGAGAGACACGATCTGCAACACCATAGTCCGCAAAAGTCACAAAACCAAAGCCTCTATGACCAGATTTCTTGACATCCTGGATAAAAATAGACAGATGGGTTTAGCCAGCATTCAACACTTGTATATCTTTTATTTGACATCTTACCCTAGGAATATAAACATCTAATATATGGCCAAATCTTCCAAAATACAAGCGAAGATCCTCAGTGGTTGCCTCCGGAGGAAGATGGCCAACAAAGATCTTTTTGCTCATTCCGTGAACAGGTTCTCCCCCTAATTTACAGTTTAAAACTGTCAGTTTGCAGAAACTTTTAAGAATTAATAATTTTAATTTGATATTTGTGTATCCATGCTTACTTCCATAAATTGAACTGGGATGATCATACATAGTCGGAGCACCAAGTGCTGCATATCTAGTTGGTGCAGAAATATAAGCATTATTATATGCACCATATCCTCCTTGTGACGTTCTGGTTCTGCCAGTTGGCTTGAAATCATCTTCCTGCCAAAATAACATAACATCTTATTAACAAAAGTCATAACAAAAGACATGTATAATCGAGGTATCTCTCCATCATCAAACTCATATGGATGAAAATGAAAACTAATACTAATATATTTCACAATGAGAGTGGAACATGTCAATGGCATGTCGGGTGCGTGTTGATGCCGTATTGAAAACATTTTGGAATTTACTTATAGTTTAAAAAGAGTCTGATTTACCAGCAGTATATTGGAGCATTTCAAGTATGCCACGGGAGGAAAAATGAAGTGCCAGTGAGTCAGATAATCAACAATAACAAACTGTAATATAATGCTTTCAAGCAAGACAGAAAACACAACAATAAAATAAATAAAGATATTTACAAGTGAAGAAACAATAATAGGTAAAGACCAAAGGCTAAATATATATCCCCTGTGCAATGGGAAGTGAAAGCCTTCGTATTCTTGTGATATAATATTTGTGAGTTGGTTAGTTTTAATTAATTTACATGCAAACAAAGAGTCACAACCAATATAGTCAAGCACGAGATCTTAAGTAGGATCAGTCAGCTGGTGAAAGATCGTAAAACTAGGATCGTAACATGGCACATAAGATCCTACCAAGGGAAAAATTACAATAGAGACAAAACTACCTATAAATCACCACACTAACAAATTTAATTAATAATTCATAACCATCACTCCATAACTTAACAAGTTCAAAAGACTAGGATCGTAATGGTTCAATTCCAATTCATCCGATTTCATCGTTTTCCATCAATCTGGACATAGAGCATATGCATTAAATGTCCATGATTCAATCAAATAGATCAAATTTTAAACTCATAACTTACTTATGGTGATGGCAGTGAAATAAATAAACTATTTCCAAAAAAGCCAGGCTAATAGACATAACCAGACAGCTAGCTAGTATAAGACATAACCAGACAAATCAAATAGAAGATATTCATACCAATGACATTATCATAAGAGGGGAAGCACCAAATGTATGCCCGGAGTAAAAAGAGAAACTGAACTAGTGATACTATTGACTCTGCGTATGTTATAATGTTTCGATCTCCCATTCTCCCTTGGTATTTATTTGCACACCATGGTTACTAATTATTCTACTATATCGCATCAAGATAAGGATCCATATCCTCCGCCAAATCTTTCCTTAATTTTCACTTTAAAGTCCTTCTTATCCTTTTTAAAAACATTGACTATCTATCTATATGAATTATCTTTTTTCTATTTTCTTCTTTACTTAATATCAATGTTGTCAATGGCAGATTTCGGAAGGCCAAAAAGCCGCAGCATAAACATGCCATTGCAATTGAGTCCTATGACACCCCCATGGCAAGCATCCCTTCACAAATTGCCAAGCCATTTGGCCATTTTACAACACTGCCTAATAGTTATCAATCAATTGTTTTGAACTATTGGGTCGAGTAGCTTTATATTGTGAGCATATAGCCTGTGCTTTTACGGGCAATGCATGGCTGCTACAAACAGATAATTGCTTCAATGGAAAATGCAATGAAAAATGAATAAGCTCTAAACAATCTTGCCTTAGGTGTTGCTCGATCAACCACCACATCAGAACCTCCGAGTTCATGGGTTTCTTTCATCAAGTTCTCTACAGAATCTGCAACACAATATGTCCCGAAAAATAAATATGAAGTCCGATACTCAACTCAAACAAAGATCTGTGTGTATGTATGTAAAAACAATTTCAGGTCCAGTGAAAACAGATGCTGGAATATTTAATGATACACTCTTTGTTTTATTTACTTATAGCAAGAAAAAGGTTTAGCGGCCCTGTATCAGAACTCAGAAATACTCACAAAATTGTCTTTTGCCAATATTATCAGGATACTAGTTAACTACTAACACTAGTTAATTATCTACGGTTTTAAGTTAAATAAAATTCAAGGATAGTTACGGCATGAAAGTCTATAAGCTAAAATATGCAGATAGTTGTAGCACAGACAAATAATGATGGCCAAACCTGCACTTGCAAAAGTGATAAAACCAATTCCTCGATGAGTTTTAGATCCTCGATCCTGTTGGAAATAAATGATAAAATGTCTAGAATTAAAATAAATAAATTGTCAATAAACATTATATATGTCTATGCATAATAATGCAGTGTAATCGTATAACTAACAACTGCAATCAACATTATGTGTATACATACAAAGAATGCATAAAACATGCCAGCCGCATTTTAACTTTACATCTTCGACCATTGAAGTGAGGAAAGTACCTTTGGCA